AAAAGAAGCTTATTTGCCTTCCTATGAGGAATGCAATAGTGGGCCTCACGCCTGTGCATCTCCTTGAATCAGTTGATATCCTTTATGGTATAATTCCCTAATCACCCCAGTGCTGTGAGAGTTTGTTGATGAAAGTGAATACTCTAAAACAAAAAGTTCACGTTTTTACTTGGATGAATATTAAATTCAAAACCAAACACGTGAATTCCAGTGTATGTACCCATAAATATGTAACAAATGTGTCGGGTATGCATGTATGCATATGCCTCAATCTTTCTAATAACTTGGTGTCAAATCACCCAGTCTCAGAGAGGATAACACCCACACAGAAAGGTTTCTTCAAAGTTACCAATTTCTGGTCCCAGACTGACTCCAGAATGGCAGGCAACTGTCATCAAACAAGGAAATGAGTCAAATGACCTTGAGAAGGTGTGAGGTGCTCTATAAGATTTAGGGCCTCGCCTACAAAAACTTCACCCAAACGGTCACTGTGGTGAAATTTTCATTGCACAAATGGAATGTGACAATTTTCAGAGTTAATGATGATTAAACAAGTTGAAAGTGAAAGGCAAACTTCTCAGGCTGGGGGAGGCTGGCTGTTTGATCATCCCATGGTGAAATGAACTTGCTGTTTGACCACAAGCAATAAAAAGTTGTCTTTGGTTTCTGGGCTGTAGGACAAATGAGAACCAGGTGTGGGCAGATTTTTAAATGACTGACATGACTAATTGACTTTTCCCTTCTTACCAAAGGGCAGGCTTATTTGTAGTGAGCATTGCTTCTCAATATTTTTACCCTGAGATAAACATGCATCTTTTTTTTAAAAGTATATCAGTCAAACCTGCCTATTTGGGTTAAGGATTAGGAGTATCGCTACTTTATTTCTCATTTTTACTCTTTTAATTGCTTTAATCATTACTTTGTTTACCAGCTGTATCTGCCTTCTCATTAAAGCAAGAAAATTCCATAACATTTAATTTCAAAATCGATGTGACAATAACAGCTCTTGTTGCTAGAGGAAGCAGTTTTAAAAGTCATTTATAAATTTTATTTGTCAGCATCTAGATGCTAACATTGGTTGGAATTACTTTAACACCTCCAACTCGCACTTTTCAGCAAACCCTTTCAGCCCTCTGTTCACACAGCCCTTGGATCCCCTTTACTTACTTTCCTAAGGCACTCCTTGTCTGTACTCTGCAGCCAGTTGTTGGATTTTAACTGATGAGGAACACGGGGCTGTTGCATATACACAAGCTGCCAAGGTTAGTCTTTTCCCCCCAACACGGTTGAGTTTCTATTCATATGGCCAAATCAATGGGCTGGTTTTATAAGAATCTCCATACTGGATATCCCCTCCCCACTTTGCCACTGACCATCTGTGTGTCTCAGTTAGTTTCTCTGAGCTTCACTTTGGAAGAGGGCAAGCAAGAAGCTCTCCATGACTTCTTCTGGGTCCTATAAGGCTAGAAGTTCTTGTTTAAAAAAAAAAACAAACAAAAAAAACTACATTTAGCCAGCACAGTGGCATATGCCTATAATCCCAGTGATTTCAGAGGCTGAGGCAGGAGGATGGTAAGTTTGAGGCCAGTTTCAGCAACTTTTTGAGACCTGTCTCAAAATAAAAACATGAATAGGGTTGGGGATGTAGCTCAGTGGTAAAGCACCCCTGGGTTCAATCCCAAGTATGCCCCTCAAAAAGAAATCTACACTTTAAATAGGTACCTTGTATGGTATGTAATTTATATCTCAATAAGTTGATTTTATGTCTGTCTGCTTACCTCTCTACCTACTTACCTACCTTGCCTGCTAACGCATATGGCCAGGATGTTTTTAGTCTCTTTTGGTGGTTGCATACAAATTTTATACCCTAAATAGTTTCTTGCTGCAACATAAGCTGGTAAAACAAGAGCTGGTTTCAACCCAAGAGAGCTACGCAGCAGTCATCTAGTTTAGTCAGATGTGGATGAATTTCTGTCCTAGTCCAACTAATGCAAATCTCATAAGGTCTGTGTCCAATCATGCAAAGCCTGAAAGCATTCAAAACGTACACAGCGAAAAGGAAGAGCAGTTAAAACAGACATGCATTTCTTACCTCCACAGCTAGCTTCTCTCGTGAAGGCTACGTGGTTTTTGTTGATGATGGAAAATTGCACCCTGTGGCAATTTGTAAGATGAATTATCCCCAAGAATAATGACCCACTAGAACATAGTAAATAGATATCCACTAACCATAAAAGGATTCACTGAATGACCGGCCTGGGTGGTTTTATGGTCTCCTTCCTGCTCATTTTTAGTTTTCTCATTTCTCTCTGTAAGGTGAACTCTGATACCATTCTTTTATAACAAATGGTAAAATATGGCAAACCAATAAAAATACCAAGATTCATCCCCCAAAATGTGTGTCCCAACTACAGCCTATTGCCATGATTGCATTTCTGATTGACCAGTTTGCAAAGAACCTCATCTTGCTATGTGCAAATAGCATGCTGGTAACATTTCTTTCTAGTGATGGGATAGTGCCACTAGGCTTCCTTGAGACACGAGTCGGTAGCTTAGTAGCCTGGCCCAGAAAACCCATGAAGTTATAGATCAGCTCAACAATGTTGTGATTAAAATGAAACAGCCAGGAAACAGTGAAAATCTGGAAAGCAGGCTTTATAGGCTCTGATCTTCCTCTGATGAGGGAGACATGGTGATTTTTCACAGAGGGGGTGATTAGATTTCCGTATTCCTATTTCCTTTACACAGACCCAGCTGATTGATAAGAATTATATGAACAATTTAAAAGCTGTTCTCTGTGAGTCAGAGGTTTAGCTAAATTGAAACCAAGTGTTTTCACACGTATCAGTTACCCAGAATAATAGGATGTAAAGCCAGGGAGATGAGGATTAAGGATTTTCCCTAACTTTTTTTTATTTATGAATTTTTTGAAGTCACTAGAAGAAAATAGTTGTGAAGTGTGCCCTGGATTCAGTATAATCTCCAGCTACACAACAGAGAGAAAGTGCCCATGAAGCAGAGAGAACTGCACACAAAGAAACCACTTGACACTTGCTATTTAATAGATTCTAGACTTCACTTAACTCCTAATATAGCTATATAGATAAAGATGTAGAGATAGAGATATATAGATAGGTATTGGATGTAGGTCAGGAACTCTTACATATTTATGGGTACATACACTGGAATTTTTTGTTTTTTTGTATCGGGGATTGAACACAGGGGCATTTAACCTCTGAACCACATCCCACCTTTTTTTGTTTTTTATTTAGAGACAGGGTTGTTTATTTATTTAGAGACTGAGTTGTTTAGGGCCTCGCTAAGTTGCTGAGGCTGGTTTTGAATTCGTGATCCTCCTGCCTCAGCCTCTCGAGCTGCTGGGATTACAGGCATACACTGGAATTTTTATCAAGTGAAAATAAAAGTCTTCACTGGAGAGGGACCAGTAAAGAAGACCTCTGGATGCAATCCATTTAAAAGGATTTCCTCACTCTGGGAAGCCAGCTGCCCTAGAGAGGCTGCAATATCGAATTGGGAAGATTCCAAGAAGCTTCTGGAAAGGAGAAATAGACTTCTTTTTACTTTTGCCATTGGGCTTAAGAAATTATCACCCTATTTGTTTATTTTTATTCAATTACATTTCCCCTCTGCAGAAGGGGTTCTGAAATGTTAACTCCCAGTGAATCTGGAATGGGGTCAAACTCCTGATGGAAAATTTACAAATATGAATTTCTGAAAGTGGATGTCAAGTGGCAAGATGGCTAAATTTAGAGGTCATTTGATCCAGCATTTGCTGGGGCAAGTCAAATAAATTTTGTGCTGTTTGGCAAGTAACTCATAGCTAAAACAAGCCCCAGTTGCAAATCCTGATTAAAATTTCAAGGTCAAAACCAAGAGATGTATACACAGAGCTCTCTAGAGCTTTTCAGGTGCCTTGGTGCCAATACACTTATTTAGCGGTCTCTAAGAATGGCTTCTTGATCTCTAGTTCTAGTTCTAATTTCAGGGGTCCACTGGGTTAGCTGCTGAAATAATATTATGAGCTCGTCTGGATCATAGACACAATGTCTTAACCCCTTTCAGCTAGCTCTGCCTCACAATGCACTAAAATATTTAATATTGCTAATATCCAGCCTTTAATTTAGTACCTGAATTTGGGGGTAGGAGGGAGGGCAGAAATAGTATATATTTTTTTCTACTTCTCTGATTAAATTCAGATAAGACCTTCAAGAATAGTCCTGTGCCTCCAAAAACACAGAAAAGAATGTCTTGTCATTTTAATGGCTGCTGGGTTGATAGCATCACTTTTAAGAAAAGCAATTCCAATACTAGGTTATTAGCTGAAAAAAGCTTATGCATGATATCCCAGGAAGGACATTTTTATTCAAACACTTGAATATGTGCCCTGAGTTATTAAGTGTTTTATACATATTAGCTCCTTTCATTCTTATGGCAAAAACAAGGGATATGGTAACTTACCCAAGGCCAAAGAACCCAGGAAGTGTGGGTCTAACTCCATTGTAAATGCAGCTATATTTTCTCCTGAAGACCTGTTGGGATATGCAACCTGAATGCCCATTTATCTATTGCTCCACGTTGGTCAGAGGGTGTGCAGAGAGGTGTTCAATTTGTTTGTTCCACTTCATAGGTATTGAAAAACGGAGACCATGTCACTGAACGTTCCCTTTCTCCTTACACTAATTTCCTCTATTTTTGGGTCCACTTTTGTGGAGGTCACCCTTCTACTGCTGGCTCCCAGTAGAATGAACTGACAAGTTGTCCCTCCCTGTCTGCTTCTCTCTCTCTCTCTCTCTCTCACACACACACACACACACACACACTCTCTCTCTTTCTCTCTCTCACACACACACACACATACACTCACACAAGAGCTATTACTGTGCTTCAGTGAAGCTGTACAGGGTTTGTGATCCAGGCATAAAAGCAGACATCATTTGCTCATTAGAGCTAAGTTTTCAGGACGTGCCCCACTTACTGACCTCCACTAACGGCCTGGGTTTGCGCTCGACTGCAAACCTGAAGTGGCAGAGTTCACAGTAGCTGGTGTTTGAGGACGACAGCCAGTGCTCCAGGCAGCTCCGATGAATTGTCCCCAAGGTCCCCGTACATTCACATGGAGAGAGCAAGTCTTCTTGGCTGCTGCCCTCATGGCAGATCCTGCACATTGGCCGGTCATTGAAGGGGCTGCAAGAGAAGGAGGGGCACCTGCTGGTCACTGGGCTGTGACCCACTGCCATGTGGATGGCCTCTAGCTCTGTGTTGTTCGGGCCCTTCCCAGTGGCAACTGCTCAAAACAGATACTTGCTTTAAGACCCTTTAGATTTTTACACTTGACCTTGGCAATGGGGCCAGTGGTCTTAGGTACTCCAGAGTACTCAGGCCATCTACTTTTACCAATATAAAATTAGCCAGTATATAAATATAAAAATATATAAATATAAAGGCCAATATCAAAGAAGCCAGGTGTGGCCTAGGGCCAAAAATGAGTGAAAATGAACAACATGTTATTTTTGTCTTGAACATAGATGAAGTTCAGGCAAACTACCAATCAAAAAATAAAAATCATTCCTCACCATAAAGAACAGAAATGGTTTTGAAATGATATCAATTGTAGTTTCTAGACAAATTACATCTTTTGAACCGGCCAGGACACTTTTATATACCCAGAGGTTCCTTTTGTTTCTCTTTTTAATGATGTGGGAGAATGAGAGGAGCAAAGTGAGCTGGCAACAAACCCTGAAGCCGCCACAGAGAAACGTGGACAAAGTAGAGTGGTGGGTGGCCCTTTGAGCTTTTGGAAAATGATCTCTGGGATGCCAAACACACTGAACTGAAATAGAGTAATGAGTATGTCCTACCAAGGAGGCCTGTGCATAGAGTGCTGCCTTTACTTTTGGAAAAACCATTCCTGCATGGTGTGTGAAGGCAGTATAGTACAGTTAGTTGTCTCCAGTGCAGGCTCTGCAACCCAACTGCCTGGGCTAAGACCCCAGTTCAGAGGCTTATGGCCAGCTCACTTTGGGCAGGAAACTTCATCTTCCTGTACTTCCGTTTCCTTATCTCTAAAATGGGCACTAAGAATGACGCCTTCCCTGTGTGGTGATTTTGAGGATAAGAAAAGATAGTGCAGATTAGAAACTTAAAATAGGGACCAGCATATATTAAGGCCTAGTTGATGCTAGCTAGTGTCACTCATGGAAAAACTCAGGCCCAAATGAAATAACATGGCTGCACCATGAAGTCAGTGCCAGTGAAAGGATCAAAGTCAGATAGCTTCACTTCTCAGTGGGTATTTTGTCCTCTGAGAAGTCTCTGATCCATGTTTTCTTCTCTCTCTCTCTCTCTCTCTCTCTCTCTCTCTCTCTGAAGTTCTGCCTCACAAATGCTAAGCAAGTGCTCTACCAGTGAGCCCACATCCATATCTTCCTATGTTGCTTGTGCTATGCTTTGTTGGGCTTTAGACTTTAAAATATTATCATATATGTGACAACCCTAGAGCCAGCCTCCTTGCTCAATTCCCTGTCTCTCCCACATACTCCAAAGATGACAGGACCAAGGCCTATGCCACATCATTCTCTTCAATATAATTTTTGATCCAATGGAAAACAGCCATGGAAACAATGCTGTTTCCCAAAGGTCTTCTGGGAATGATTCTGAGAATACGTGAAGAAAAAGACCTCCCTCCAACTTGCATGGAAGACCCACTTGTGCTGGGGGGAGAAGAAAGGTGTCAGAGTTGACTTTTTCCTCCTGTTCTCCTTCATTCAATTTGTGCCATGTACATGCAAAGCTCTGCAGCCCTCTTGTTTGCGTTGCCATATAAAGAGAGAGCAGGGATGCCTGACGGACAGAAACACACTCATTGGCTCACAGGTCTCAGTCATTTCACCTGTAGCCTGCTCCTCCTGATCAACCAAGGTGACTGATGGCTGCCAGGGTGACTGGTGCACACCCAGTGATCCAGTCTCACTTCACTCCATCCTGTTCTGAGTCTTAATCAATTGTTGGAAATTTTCCAAGTAGTGGAAAAAATGTCTATTCAATATGTTTCTATTTCTTTGCTTTGTGACAACTGCATAGATTTTAAATAGAAGGTTTTCAGACATTTACAGCATGCATGGGTGTGATTCCATGTGTGAGGGCTGTGGTGCTACCAGTAGTCCTACTGCAGGTACATATATGGTCCTGTGGATCTGTGCCTGCACCAGAGGGGCAGTCTTATCTCTCTGTCTGAGGCAAATGGTTAAGTGTGAATAACTGGTCCTAGGTTTCAGGGTTAGAAGTGTGAGCACTGGCATTAGTGGGCAAGTCTGGTGGTGACATACACTTGACATTCATAGGTCAAAAGCCTATGAATTTAACCATTCTGAAAGAAATTTGGAGAAGTCAAGGTGCACCCATCAGCCTGGGAACCCACGGCTTCCAATCTGCCTTTGGTCAATTGCAGCACAAGAATAGCCCCCAGGGTCAAAGTGCCGGCCTGTATAAGCAGTCTCTTGAGTTGTTCAGAACTTTCATTCACCCTTGCTTTGGTTCATCATAGGGAAAATAGCCGTGGAGGTTTTAACAATAGCACTCCACATCAGATTGTATGTGAAGGGTTGGGGACCACAGGAGCAAAGGAGGGGACAAAAGAAGAGGTCCCCACATCCAGAGAGTAAACCTGCATAGTGTGTCCACCCGGCAGTGCTGATCTGCATCATGCACCCTAGGAATGTCATTTCAAAAGTTGTGCCCACAAATCCGATGACTGGCTTAGTCACCTGAAATCAGATGCCTTGTTCATTCTATTCTAACAAAGGGCTTCTGAAGACAGTAAGAGCATAATTACCATAGCAATGTCAAAATAATAAATGTAAACAAGCAACCCTGCATCTTGTGGGATCCTTTCCTGCCTGGCTCTCTGCAAGTGTGACTTTAAGCAAAACACTAGACAACGTGAATCTCTGCTTTATATCTGATTGCTATAGAAACAGCGATGACAGAACTTGTGTAGTCTTTTTTTTTTTTTTTAACTAGTACCTCCTCTCACCTGACACAAAGACCTGAGCACTATTTACATTCCCTTTAGCATTTTCCATCTGACAAACAGTTCTCCAGATCAATTACAGATTCATTTATTTTAATTGTGGTACTACCTCTGGGTGGCAAGAGTCCGCACTACTGTTGACAGCAGCTGCCCGTCCTTGGCTGAAACTTGCATGACATACTGTGGCTGCCCATTCACTAGGCTGCCACAATCCTCCACAGTCTTCACCACGGGTGCAGCCGAGCTGGTGCAGTCTGGCAGGACTTCAGGCAGGTGACTGCAGCGGCTGGTTGTCATGGCAACAGACAGCAATTACTCTGCTAATGGCTTCCACATTCATAGAGGATTTCCATCTAAGAGAGATCAGAAAACAGTTTACTTGGGCAGGGTGGTTAATAGAAAATGGAGAATTATGGGTCACCAACATCATCATGTCATTATTTAATATAAATAACAGGGCATCCCAGATGTGGCACTTATCTTATTGCCCTTTAATACAAGTGTGCATGCATGTGCATACATGTACACACACACGGCCCACAAGTGGATATGGTTATAAACAAGACAAAAAGCAAGGTGGTGTATACAAACATTCAGCAACCCTGTTTTCCATGAAGTGACAGATGATGGCTCTGAAGCCCAGATTTGAAGAGAAGATAGCAATTCCCTCGCTCTACCAGAGAAGCAATAAAGTCTTTGTTGACACTCTCTAAAAGTTGCTAGAATCATTATTAAGACTGTGTGCAACTATTTTTTCTTGTAAGCAATTTATCTCCATGCAGCTTCATTCTAAGATACTAGGGTTAAAAATAGAGAAAGAAAAAAAGGAAAAAGCAAATTTGGCTAAGTAGCACATCTAGAACACTGCTTGTCAAACATAAATCATTCAATTATTGTATCACCTTTCTGACTTTTGTCAAATCCATGTCCCATAATTCAATATCTACTTAAAATTAAAACTTGAAAATTAACTTCATTTAAAAATTTAACTCTTAAAGTTACTCATGATATGATTTGCTTATTTTATCTTTTTTCAAATGGATGTTAAAATAAATGCATTAGCATTGATTTTTCTGTTTGTGTACTTCCTAAAATTGAGGGGTACATGCATCATAAGAAAGTACATGGAAGAACATAAGAAGGTGATAAATGAGCTCTTATCACCAATTATAAATAATCTATTATTAATAAGGGCTTTACCTCCCCAGTAGACTCTCTCATATAAACTATAAGGAATTCTGTTCCTGAACTGTGTGGTGCAGGGCATGGGTCATGACCTCAAGTTCAAAGTGTTAAGACCCCCAGGGGTGAGGAATTCCACTGCATTCAATAATAGGTCAGCATGTGATGTATAAGAAATGGGGGCTTCCGAAGAAACTTGCTGGAGGAATTGTGTCCAAAGGTGAGATGACACAATGTCAGGGCTATGCATGCCCTTTCTGCCAGCCTGCTCACCTCATGCTCCATATGGCCTGGGCTCAGTAACAGTGGCAGGATTGGTTGATGGACTGAGTGCTTGTCAATAACTAGCCTATGTGGTCAAAGCCCTGAATCTAACTAACTAAAAATCTTGTCTTCCCCCACTCCCTAGCCCCAAGGGGATATTTGGAATTCCTCCATGGGTAGTTTCCTCCCAGATATCTGTCTCTACTTATTACATTTTATTTGATTCCTACAGGTCCAGAAAACAGGATCTCTCCAACTTCCAGAACAATGTGCATCAACTAGATGTTCTCAGGGCGATGAACTTGAGTGGACAGTTTCCCTCCCAACAAGCACATGTCAGGCAGGCTGGACTTCTGGAGATGACTGGATATGAGCATAAACCTCCTGCTGATGCTGAGGTATCTGGCCAGCATCACTCTAGCAGCTTCCTTTTCTGGTCCTCCCTGCTGCCAGAGTCCTTTCAGGGTGAGTGTTTTCCCCAGCCCAGCAGCCTTTGGAACTGGCAAAAAAGTGGGGAGAGAACTGTAGCTACTGGTCTTGGTTGAGGCCTGTTGCAGGGGCACAGGCAGGATCACCCTGCCCATGACATTTTTACAAACCCAATACTGAACACCCAGAGAAATACAATCGGTTAGCTGGGATAGAGTAGGGTTTTGTTTTTTAAATAAGATTTGCTGCTTTATATTACATTGCAAATTCAAGAAGTATGCAATATAGAAAATACAGAAAAGCACAAAGAAAACAATGAAATTCACCCATAATCCCATCATTTGGATAAACAGTACCTTTTTTGGGTGGATGTCTTTTTATATTTTTGGCAGAATCGGAAGGGTGAACTTTATTTGTAGTTGGGGTCAGAGAGTCTTTTTTTTTTTTTTTTAATGAACTATGGTAGCTCTCAGGCCAACAAACAAAAGGATGTTAAAAGATGGCACTCTTCTAAAACCGTGTATAATTCTCCTCCTCCGGCCTACCCTGACAAAACCCCATTGACATGATTTTAAATTCTCAAAATGCCTCACAGTCACAAAGTGTAGCTTCCTGGCACAGCTCTCTTGCTGCACAAGGCAGCCATAGATTAAGAGCCAGAGCGTGTTGGCAGGAAAAGCAGACACAGTGACCTTCTTGCCGAATGGAATCACTATGTCTGGGCGCATTCTGAGAGTCTATATTCAGGTTTTGCATATCTCCGGCTCAGAGGGCCAAGTGCTCCCTCCCTATTCCCAGTGGAACTAGAAGTGGGTAGAGGGGGTGCCCAGTGTGTCAGTGGGACCCAGGGCTGTCAGCAGTCAGGCTACCCTAATCATATACATTCATTCACCTGTAACCTAGATTAAGTCCTCATCAAAGAAAGTAGTTTTAAATGTGTGGCCAAAATTCACAATAAAATGCCCTTTAAATATTCCAGAGGCAGAGTTTCTCTTAAGCTAATTTTATATCTGTAATGTCACTTATGTATGCTATATTTCATTTCACTTCTCAGAGAGGCAAAAGGGATATTATTAGCTACTGATCAGTTTATTCCATTTGTGGTGGGTACCAGGCACTGAGTTCAGCATAAAGGGACACAGGGCATCACTATCTTGCCTTCTCTTCCAAGAAAACCCCACCTCTTCTTCTGTGCTGTGTCTGCAGAATGCTGCACCCAAGATCCTCTAAGTCTTCACTCAACTTAGGGTCTAACCGAAGTGATATTCCAGTTCAGCACTCCCTGAAGAACTTGCCAGCATGTCTGCTGTATACCACACACCAGAGTAACCTTGAGATACAAAGGCTGGTGTGCCAGCAATGAGTCCCAATAGTCCTAAAAGACCATGCTTTGAATTTAAAACACATGGGAGGGATTACATAGAACATGACACTCTTGGTCACAGTGAGAATGGACGAGTTGATTCTAATCCCAGGAGAACAGATTTAGTCACCTACTCAGGTGGAGTCAGAGGGAAGGGAACACTTTGTGCTGTGATCTCAGTGAAAGGGAAGCCCAGAGACTGAGATGCAGGCAAGGGGCAGGCAGGAGTGGGCCTGCAGGCTGCATGCACCAATTGGCATGCATATGTTGCACCTGGGGCAGTGACAAATGGGCCACTGCATATTCCTGTCTCATTCAGAGCCACCTGGGAAAACAGCAGGCTGTTGCCTTGGATGCTAAAAAGAGCTGAGCTGTCAGTTTGCAGTCCAGCACTGGTCTTCATTGAGTTTTCTGCAAAATTTCAAGCACCTTTCGATTGCTTTCTTATCAATACTAGTGTATTACTGCTCTTGTGGGAAAGCAGCCTCCTAGTTCACTCAAGAATACTTCTCTCTGGGATTCCTCAGGATAAAAACACAGTGCTGGGAGAAAGTAGTATATGTATAAACTTAAAACCTCAAACCACACTGGCAGGACAGGTCCTTTGTTGGCCAAGTTGACACCTTGTACAATTTCTTTCTCAGACTGAGAATAAAACATGATTTGGCATTGGCCAAACTCAACTGCACAACAATGGGAAATGTGGGAGTAGGTGGATGAGAGGGAGACAGTGAAAACAGAGGGAGTGGCTAAACAAATGAAAGCCTGAACAGAGGATTGTTAAAGACTTGTCTGTTAAACTGTGACCCCTCAAAAAACTGAGTACAGGTTTCACAAAAGGAAGAGATTAACTAGGCTGCAGCTAATAATTGCCTAGTTTCTGGAACAGGCTGCCACTGGTGATTTCCATGGCAATGTGGCTGGCATCATGAGGACATGTTCTCAGGACATGGAGGGAAGGGAAAGAAAGCACTTGAGAAAGCATGCCCTGCTAACCTCTGCAGACCCTAGGCCTCAGCAACCTTGAACTTCCATGATGATCATGAAGTTAAGGGAAAAGCTCTGCTTTTAGAGGCATAACCCCCAAACCTTTACCCTGGTTCACTACTCACCAGGGTAAGTCATTCTGCCTCTCAGACTTTTCTGAGCCATCCCACCTGGTTGCTTGTAAAGCCTAAAACAATATGTATTAGTCAGTTTTCCATTGCTATGTCAAAATAACTTATAAAGAGGTAACTTATAAAGAAAAGTATCTGGCTCAGTTTTGGAGGCTGAAAATCCCAACAGCATGGTACCAGCTCTCACAAGGGCCTCCATAGCTGCATTACATCATGGTAGATGGCATCAAGGTGCAAAAGAGAATGATCACATGGCAAGAAAGGAAGCCAGAGAACTTTTGGGGGACAGTCAGGCTCACTCTTTTATGATAACTTACTCGTGTAGGAACTGAAATCCTATGAGAACTTGTCTGATTCCTTCTGAAGGCAGGACCTCCAATGACCTAATTACCTCCCATGAGGCTCCTCTTCTTTTTTTCTTTGCAGTACTAGGATTGAACCCAGAATCTTGCATATGCTAGGCAAGTGCTCTACCACTGAGATATATTCCCAGTCCTTTGTAAATTTTGAGATAGGTTCTTGCTAAGATGCCATGTATTTTAGTAGCTTTTTTTGTTGCTGTGACCAAAAGACCTGACAACAACAATTTTAAGGAGGAAAAGTTTATTTGGTGGCTCATGGTTTCAGAGGTCTCTGTCCATAGCCAGCTGACTTCATTCCTCAGGGCTTAAGGTAAGGCTGAACATCATGATGGAAGAGTGTGGTGGAGGGAAGCAGCTCACATGATGATCAGGTAGCAGAAAGAGACTCCACTCACCCAAAGGCATGCCTACAATGCCTACCTTCTCCAGCCACACCCTACCCATCTTCAGTTACCATTCAGTTAGAATCAGGGGATTAATTCACTGATGGGGTTAAGGCTCTCATAACGCAGTCATCTCTCCTCTATGCCTTCTTGTATTGTCTCACACATGAGCTTTTGAGGGATACCTCATATCTAAACCATAATACCCAGAATGGCCTTGAACTTTTGATCCTTCTGTCTTAGATTTCTGTA